AAAATATATGAATAAAAGATACAATTGATATTTATGTCGTTTTATATATAAGTTTCTAAATAAAATTAGAATCAAAATATATTTCCAAATATATTATGCAAGAAACAAAAGAATAAGTGCAAATGAACATTATGTTTTAGTCGAACTCTATAGTCACATTTTATTAAGTGAAATAAATTATATAAAATGTGATTACTGCTAAAATGAAGAAAGAAAGAGTATATGCAATTACTATTTTCACTATTTTTACGTGTTCTGATTGTGTACGATTTTTCCCTTGCCTATACCTAGAATTTCCTAATTCTGGCATTAACAGCAATGGCTCTAACAATAATAAACTGGATCTATTCGCGCGATGATCAATTACATCATTCTGTTTAAAACTGTACGCTCGAAATACATCGTTACGATAATTTATCCAATTTTGCAAATCAGTATCGTATCCAACATGTTTTATAGAATTTAAAATGTTATTATGATTCATATGAAATGCTGTAGGTGCAATACCATTACTTGATATTCTTGTGTAAAAATTACTTGTACACCGATGATATAACTCTGTATTTACTATTTCTTTTGCATTATTATTTATAACCAAAATATTTGGTTTTAATATTGTTTTTAAATCAAAAATATCTCGTGGTAGGCCATAAAAGTAGAATATACTGGAAGCATTAGTTTTTAAGTAATTATGAACTAATAAGCAATGCCGAATGTCATCGTATTGCAAATATAATGTATTGTCATGTTTACCATTTTCTGAGCAATACTTAAATTGTAAAGTTTCGTTTTGTTGAAATAAATGAACTTCCCTCGCATACAATGGCTTCTTTGCATATATCAAACGATCAGAGTATACTGGACTACCTTGTAAACTGGCACATTTTTTACAAATTTTATGTAGAGGAAGAAAAAGTGTATTTATCAAAGTTTTCGCCGTAGTAGGACTATATTTTTCGTAATAATCCATAATATCACATTCAAGAGCATTAACTTCTTCATAAACATGATCCAGTTTAGATGAGTATTTTGTCATTGCATTATTTTCCTCTGTATTCTGTTTTGTTAATGCAGCATTGTGGTCAATTAGACCATCTTTAAATTTATTTTTAGTCTCACAGTTTAAAGGTTCATTTCCATGTATAAATTGCCTTGATTTATGAAGTTCGCTTCCCGACATCATTGACAATTCTGTTGTATTTGACATAGTTTCAATTATTTCTAAATTACTAATGGCAGTAGGAGATACATAATCGTGTTTAGTATCTTTCTTACTTTCATTTTCCTGAAGTGCTTGCATCAAGAAAATGTCATCGTTTGTAGATATTGTGTCAGCATTCATAAATTTGTACGGTGGCATTTTATCTATGTGCGAAATACCAAATGCGTGTGTTTCCGTGCTTGGTGTTTCTATAGCTGTGTTAAATATGTGCCATTTATTATTGTGATCTTTGTTTCTAATGCTACGTTCTTTTTCTAGTCGTAAATGTTCTAAGTGTAATTGGCGGTGGTGAACACACGCAAAATTATATCAATTCGTTCTTTCACTTTCTTCAGATCGTAATTCCCGTTTAATTTTATCTAAATCGTAAAGAATCTAAAATAAAATATATAATAGCAATCAATTAGATAATCAGTATAACAGAATTACTTTCAAATACAATTAATAACATATATACAAACTTCTAATATAGAAGCAGCACTCCAAGCTTGTGTTCTACAACTGTCCTTACAATATTCTCCGTCTTTGTTGGTAAGTTCAGGAAGACCCCTCCAGTGATTTGTAGATATTTCTATGAAATGTCGAGAAATAATAGATTCAGTTGATTCGACTGTGCGACGTAATTCTTCCTTTCCTCCAACTAATGGAGCGAAATATAGTCGAGCGCGAAGGAAATAACCAATGGGCCAAACCCATTCCTATTTGATGCCATTAAATTGTATTAGTTTTACACTAAAGTATTTTATATTAAATTAATATACTAAGAAGTATTGCTTACAGGCCCTTGATGATAATTCCAACCGTGAGCTAATTTAGTATCTCCACTATCATTAGAATTATCGTAATATCCATTATATGCCCAATCAGCAGGATCTAATGTTTTCATTCCAAGTGGTCCTAATAAAATTTCTTCTGTCTTTTTTAATGCTGTCCATGCATGTTCCGGATTAAATAACTCTGGAGCCTTTTAAAATAATGGTATTTCAATATTATTTTATTTTAATTGCGCATAAATTTCAAAAATAAATAAATTATAAAAATATACTTACGACAACCATTGCGATTGGGAAATTAGGTCGTAGTTGATAATCAGCCCATGCTTGTGTTGCTCCATGACTATCTTTGAAAATTCCACGGCGGTGAATAAGCTCTGGTTTTAATTCTCCTTCTGATGATACTTCGTTGACGTAGAAATATTTTTCAAAATTCAATGAAATTTTATCTGCCCATTGTTTATAGCTCCATGTTATAACAGAGCCTACAATAAACATTATAACGAACAAAAATTGGAAATAAATAGGAAAGTATAAATGAAATTTATTTCTTACCATCACGATTTTTTCTTTGCACACTGCCATAAGGAAAAAGATTTTGCTTATATAATTCAGCCAAAAAGCTGAGAATACTCTTGCTTAGTCCCACTATTTCTACAGCTGAACCATCCCTTGGAGTAGCTGGTTTTCCCTTGTTACCAGCTTTTTCAGAAGAACCCATTTTATCCATCCAAGTGCCACAATTTGCGTCATTTCCACCAAATATGAATCCTGTTTCTGGGTGTACTCCAATTTGGTTATTGAAACCACGATCTGTCATATGCTCATCAATTTGTCTCCCAGCATTTCTTTCTCTAAAACAAAGTCCTTGGAAATGTACCATAAGAGCTTCTTGAATAACATCGTGCAACGGCTGATCCTGAAATTTTTTTTGTAATATATGCCATATGTAAAATGTTAATACATGTAATTTATTAACAAAGAATATTTTTCACGTACTATTTGTCCCGCAGATAATGCGGGAGAATCATCAGTTGGAAATAGTCTCGAAACTTTGTCTGTTAAAATTTTTAAACCATTTGGTATTTCTTGTATGTAACATTGAATTGTATACAACCACCACCACAAAGCATCTCGACAGTTATATCTAAAATACATAATTGTTCAAAACGTACAACAATATATTTGCATTTATACAATAATAATTAGAAATTTATTTTTTACCTAGCATTTTTTCCTTTATCAAGTAAATTTGGTATAAGACCATGTCGCAAAGTTTCAGCATAGCTGAGAATAATAAATCGTGCTTCTGCATGTCTTCCTGTTAATATTAATAGTCCCCTTAAAGAAATGAACGTATCTCTTCCCCAATTTCTCATATATCCTGTGGTAAAATGTGGTAAACCAGCAGACAACGTCATACATATTTGTTCACTTTCGCCATTATATTGTTTAATCTTTGGTTTAGGAGGATCTATATTTGGAGACAAATCCGGTAATGGAGCTGATTTTACTATACCTCCCATTTGAATTGAAACCAAAGATAGAATTTTTACAAAAGTGGAACCATCTTTCACAAAACTAATGAATTATAATGAATTAGTGAATGTTTATAAAAAAAAAAGATAAAGACTTTTAAATACTAAATACCTTGACATTAGATTATAGCATTGCTCAAGAAGTATCATATAAACGTTTACGATTATAACATCGAAATAACTAGGAACTAGATAGCGAGGTATTAATTTAAATGGTTCAGTGACTTCTTCAAGCCATTCTCCAAGAGTTTTAGTTCCATCATCTTCTTTTAATCGTTGCCAAGTATAATCTATATATTTGTTTAAAAATGTTAAGATTCATTAATTGTAGAATAAAATATAATTATGTTAATATTAAAATAGATTGGTTTCAATATTTGCACATACCTATTAGCCAATTACCCTGTCTGAGATTAATGCACATTGGATGACCCAAATCATTGTTAGGACGAATATCCGCCAATAACGAAATTATACCTGAAAATAAATGCAATGTATATTATTTAAATAAATATAGAAAATATAATATATGAAATAGCTCAAATTATTAAGTTACCTTGTAATCCTGCATAAACAAGTGGCCCATATCCAGGAATGTCATATACACCAAATCTATTTGAAGTTTCATCGCGTTCTTCTTGATCGCATCGATATAAAACCTTATTTAAATCTACTAAATCCATACGAGAGGCAATAACACGTATGTCGGAACTTTTCTGCGATGTTATTATTGAAATAATATTATGGAGTTTTGCAAGAGCAGGTTTTGTATTAGCATGAAGGGATACACTGAAATCGAACATATTAATATGTATGATATAAAATTTATGAAAAAATTGTATAAAAAACGTAATTGAATATTACCGAATAGCAACAACAGAACCAGGCTGAAAGTTTACGAAATTAAGCTGAGTTATTTTAGGATCACCAGAATCAACTTTTTCGAAAATTTCCGAATCACAAATTTGTATATGTTCTTTAAGGTCTACAATATATTCTGAGAGACCATTTATATAATTTTCATCTTGTACATATTTTTCAGGATAGTGGAAACGTGATGTTCCATTCCTAAAAACAATATTTCAATAAAACATCAATACGTAGTAAGGACTATGAAAAATTATAATTATTGATTTTTCATATTTATTACTTAGTTTCTATATGAGATAAAGATGCTTCAAAAATAATTTCTTCTATTACACCTTCCACTCGCAATGGTTTCACATGTCTTCTCAAATCGTTTGCATTAGGATCGGGATGTTTGAACGCTGTAAAAGTAACTAAAATTACACTATCGTGAGTTGTTGGAGAATGTCTTGTTACAGCTACTATATCACTATCCATTTGGTCAACAAATACCTATAATTTTAATAAATATTTAAAAATGTATACAAAGGTAACACTTCTTATATATTACGCATTATGAAAATATACTTGGGAAAACTTCTCTTGCCCGAGAGTATAATGCAAATCATTTAATGCTTTCTTCGCCGCAATTATACCAGTCTTTAAACCTACAAATTTAATTCCATCCACCAACGATTCATCATCTGTCCAGGATGAATATTGTCTTGTTTCATCTACAACGTGTATCTGTAAGGATTGGCTAGGATTAGTAAATCAATTTTATTTTTTTTTTCCTTATTACTTACATGATGAGGAACTAATTCATCGTATCCACGATTGCTGCCGCTAGCACATGCAGCCATTGATACAAGAGCAGCACTTGGAAGCAAATCGAACACGCTACGCTTTTCTACAGGACTAGGATTATCATGAGTTAAATCTAGAAATAATGCATGTGCTATGCTCGGTACTAAAGGCCGTTTACGTGGTTGCAAAAATGCACCAACTGGTTCGCCTCCATATCGGTATACTAATCGACCTTCTTCATGACTATCCCATGCAGACATAGCTTCTAATTTAAGAAAAAGAAAAAGATTTAACAGGATTATAACAGGATTCAATAGGATTTTATATAGTTAAATAGATATTTTATAAAATATTATCACTTAAAATAAATCTGCATACCTCGAATCAAAGATGTGATACCAAGTCGATTGACAAATATGTTGTCTTTTTGATCGGAATTTGTAAATAATTCGGCAACAACGTACAAATCTGGACGGACTCGACGTGCAACATCAAGCATATACTAGAAAGATTAAAAATTCACTATAATATGAATAATATAAATTTTTAAATACTTTAACAAATTAAATGTACCTCTGCAACTGGAATAGGGGTCGAATGACAATTGTCTAAACGAATACCGTCAAAAATTTTAGCCGTTTGTTCAACATAAGTAGTAATATGCTGCCATAAAAAAGGACAATCTTCTGGTTTATTTCCATACCTGTAGAAAAATAATACGTTACTGATTACAATTACATGTATTATAATATATTTTACTATTTTAATATTTTAAAAACAGTTACATTACCTTAATTTTACACTATCACCCCAAGCAATCAGTTCTCTTCTTATGTAAACATTAGAATCAGGATCAGCAAAATTTTTTAGAGGATCTCCATTCATTACCCATCCATTATGAGCCATAAGGTAGCAGCCTGTGTCAGAATACATTGTAGCTTCTCTTTCAGTTAATGTTTGAGATGCTCCATAATCAGTAAAATACCTGAAGGTAATTTATACATAAATAATATAAAAATATAATAATTTTTTACAATAGTTATATACCTAGGAACAAGTGGATTTCTTTCGCTTATTTCTTTAAGCTTAGGTCCATCAGCTTGTACTCTAAAATATCGTATACCGGCAATGGAATTCTCAACTGCAGCATTCAGATGATTTTGTACTTCGTTAATGATTACATTATTAAGTTCCTGTAATTTTTTTCTTAAGTCTTCAGCACAACGTTTCAAACGAGTATCTTCGTCAAAACAATCGGCTCTTCAATAAAAAAATAATAAGAAGTATTAACTATGTAAATCAAATCTTATTAAAGTAAAACTTCAATATTCTGATAATTATATAATTTACCTATATATGTTATATTTTTGCAAAGCAAGTTGCATATTTATAGTTGCTTTCAATCTACGAAATTTCGGATCTTTTATTATTTTGATATCGTCCGATATTGGTTTAATGTTATCTTGAGGCATTTGATTTTGTGCCAAATTCAAAAATTCAGCAATGGTTTCATTAATATCCAATACATACAATTCATGTATTTTCACAAGCGGTAAAAAATATGTATGTAATGCATGACGAATTGACTAAAAATAGAGAAATAAAATAAATATATAATATATTGCACTTGTTATTGAATATTAATATAGTGCATTTATCTTACATTTAAATGTTCTTCAGTTTCAACTATTGGAGGAATACCTTTAAATTCCCATTCTCCAGCTGCGACTTGTACTGTCAATTCAAACAATGCAGCATCCAAAATATATGCAGAACGTAAATGAGGACTATTCAAACAATTGTATGTACACTCTGGATGAGATATTAAAAAAGAACTTTCATTTGCTGTATGATTCAAAACAATATCGCATATGCTTAGTATCTGAAACATATAACATTTACAGGGAGATATTATAATAAATTAAATTATAAATATATAAAATTTTAAAAGTTTATATATATATATATAAATTATAAAATATATAAAAATTTACACACACATACAAACACACACTTACGTTCCATTCATTGCGTATTTTATTTATCAGTCCTTCAACATCTTCATATGTTATTGATTTATCACCATCATTAAAAGAAGGATTTAATTTTAATTGGTCACTAAGACTATATGATGATTTAGAATATCCTAATTCTTGAATTGGAGTAAAGTGAATCACATTATATCCAGAGTTTTTAGCCATTAATAATTTATCTTCCCAAGTAGAAAATGGTCCTAAACATTTTGCAAGAACAGTTTGACATTGAATGCAATCTAATGGTAAATCATCACCATGTTCTCCTATTTTAAGTTCTGGATCCACCAGGAGGTATCCAGAAGCAATGGGTTTCATACATTCAGAACTGAAAAAATTAATATATAAAGTTATGGACAATATATCTTTTTATAACAATAATTTTTTTTTTATGTTTAATACTTACTTAGGATCTATAAGATAATAGTGAAATGAACCAGCCAAAAATAAACATATATTAGCTGCCTCATTAACCCATTCTAATGGATAATATGTATGTCTTTCAAATTTTTTATTTTCTCCTAAAGGATAATTTATGAAAAGATCAAGTGTCTTCCCTAGAAGAGAAGCACCTAAACGAAATTCTACTTTCCATCCTGTTAACAATTGTTTTAATTTTAGAATTGCTCAAATTAAAAAAAATAATACAGATTTTACATACCTTTTTTTAATTTATATAATATACCATCAAGATGTTCTCCATTATTTAGAGTTAAAACTCTTATTTGTTCACATTCGTGACTTTCAGTTGTTGACACGTGTTCTGTCATATTCCCTACCACTGCCTAGAGACACAAACACTTATTTTATAATTTATAGTGTAATACAATATCACACAATTTTTCGTATCATTCTTTAATTATTTGTGATATGCACAACTCTTAGTTTTATCAGTATATTAATACATTCTTTTAAAATTGTTATAAACATTTTCTGTAGTTTATAGTATAAAAGAGAAATTAAATAATAAAAAAATATATTTAAAATAAATATTTATAAATATTTAGCTAGCTCAGAAAATATAATATTGAGTTAATAAAATGTCTATACTATTCTTAAGAGGAAGATTTTATGATAGTAGTACTTACACATGAAGTGTGGTATATGAATAAATACTAAGCCCACAATTCCCTTAATATAAGTTATCAGCACAAAGCAGTTAGCAAGCGTGCAAAAAGTATGATATTAGATTACAAAGTTATGCTGCATGAACATGCATAAAGCCCAGAGATACTCTCATTCTACATGCTTGGATTACCTCTTTGTAATAATATAAACAGGGTAGACTTTGTACTATATAACATCAATTGTCTATATCACTATTTTCTATTTATTTATACTACTACTACATTTCTGATAAATTTAACAGAGACATTATTATTCCAAATAGTTCAGCATTATTTTAACATTAAAACATTAGCCTGAAATATAAATCATTTTATATATCATGTTCAACACTATATATAAAATACCTCCTTTGATTAGACTGTTACATAGCTATATTAGATTATATTATAAATGTTACAAAGACATTACAATGATATATTATCTTGCAATCAAATTTAGTAATGATATCCTTATCATTTTTAAGATAAAAATATAGAGTTATTAAGATATATCATCATCATATCTGAACTTACATAACAAAGGCATTTTAAATAGTTGCATTTGCAAAGATGTTGAAGAATGGTCCTAAGTTTCCTTATTAATATCCTTGTTGCATCATAAAAAAAATTGCCTATTGCAAGTATAAAACCCATTTTCAAAATAAATCATATAGCTGAAATTGTTATTAAAGACCTTTCTCAACTAGCTCTGTATTATCACTGCGTTATTGTTGTTTTTATTTAAACATATATCACATTTGTATTACCTATAACAAATATGAAAAAAAAATTTTAACTACAAAAGCTGTTATTAACTACTTTTAATACAATCAAGACTATAATTAATCTTTTACATATTAAATATAAATAAAATTAATTATCTAACTATATTAATTATAAAATTATTGTTTTATATATTAAAATAAGATTATATAATTAAAAAACTATTTTATTTAATTATTCAGAAATACATAATACATATCATTTGGTTTAAGATACATATAAAGTAAATATATATGTACATATACATATTTTTTACAGTATTAAAAAATTATAAAAGAGATTGAAATTGAATCACTAATTACTTCAATAAAAGTTACAGAAATTATAAAAATTACAAAGTTACAGAATTATAAAGATGATGTACAAGCAAATTAAGAATTATGACAGAACTATGTCCATTAGAATTTAAATATATACGTATTAATATACACATATATATAACTCATTACATGTATACAATAGGTTAATTAAGACAAATAAAATCACAATTAATAGCTTATTCTGTATGATTAGAACATGCAATAGAAAATTTTACAAACTTTTAGAAAACACATTACCATATTATTTTAATATTTTCATCTGTTTTCTTTTCATACCTGATTGTTCTGCGTATTAAAAACTAAAAATATTATATTTTCATTTAAAAATAGTAAGAAAATCAAATGTATACGAAACAATATAATACAGATTGATAGAATGCAAAACAGATTTAAACGAATTTCTTTATGAAATTAATTTAATGTAATTTACTATATAATATGTTAATATTAATTAAGAATAATATGCTTCGTTCGAATTTGACCTCTATTTTATAAAGACAACTGTGAAGGTCACGAAATGAGAACATGGTTCAAGTTAAAGGGACGAAAGAAGCAGACGACAGATTGTAAAAATTCGAAACGTTGATTGGGTAATCATTCACGACAACTTCATACTGAAATTTTAAATACTTTTCTTTTAGGAATTAATATTATTGTACGTGGATTTATTACTATAAATTTACCTGTGTGATCCCATATAACAAAAATTCATTTATAAGACTGGTTTTATGTATTATGATTTCTAAATTGAAATTTGCAATATTTGTTATTTATGCACAAATAAAAAATATTCCAAATTAGGATTGTAATTGCATTGTAAATCGTAAATTAAACGCATTGCATGTCGTAGAATTTCAATAAAGATATTTAGAGAAATAAGAAAAAATATTAAAAGATAATACATTATATACACATATATTCTTTCTTTTTTTTTTGTTAAACAGGTTAAAATAGCTATATGAACAGTGATAGATAATTATGCGTTGTTAGAAAAAAAGATTTCTAAAAATATTTTTATTATGAAATATATGAAATTTTTTAATAGTTCTAATAAATTTCTTTTCCAATAAATTGTTCGAATTTTGTTTTCAATATTACGAAAAATATAGAAAAAGAGGAAATTTTTAGAGACATAAAATAGATCTACAGAAAGAAACACATTATTTAAATGTGTAAATTTTTAAATGAAATAATATTTTCGTAATAAGATTAATTACAAACCGGTAATATTTCTTGTCACTGACAGTCATTCGCTTTCTCTTTTGCACATTATTTCAAAATGGCAGCTCCTACGGATGAGCTGAGTAAGTAATTTGGAAAAAAAATCAATTTATTTTGTATGACGATAGTTTATTTTGACGATGACACAAATAATATTATTAATTATATCGTTTTTCATTTAATAAAAATATTATCTCTAATGATAACAATATTTTTAAATGTATCGTGACTTGTAAAACGAGTTAATTATTATGCAGTTTTATAGAAAATAATTATATTGGGCATATTTCAATTTACATTTAAATTAATCCAGAAGAGACAATTTTTTAAATTCTTCTGTCTATTTGTATTTTATTTTTTGTATATGTTCGCATCTTAATTGAATGACTGATGTTAAATAATGTACATAGAATTATTTTTCTCTTATCAGCTAAATTTCTATGTCAATATTCACACAATTATTTCTTTTATCATAAAGTCTTAAGCATTGCAAATTGTTTTTGGATGATTTAAAATCTACAAGATGATTATTTTATAATAAAATATTGCTTCAAATAAATTTATTTCTTAAACATATAATGAATAATTATTTTTAGTTTTATTTTGAAAGTTAACAATATTTAATGTTATGAAAAATAATATACAATTAAATTATTTGGTATAGTTTCATATTCACAAATTAATTGTTATATATGTGTAATTTATTGTTTCATGGAAGTTTTGCTTGAGCGAGTATTTTTCCGTTTGGGATCTGCAGATACTGATGAACAATTACAAGCATCAGTATGTAAATTCTTGCCACCAGTTTTATTAAAACTTTCTAGTGCTCAAGAAGGTGTTAGAAAGAAAGTAATGGAGTTATTAATTCATATAAATAAAAGAATAAAGAGCAGGCCACAAGTTCAATTGCCAGTTGAAACACTTTTACTACAATATCAAGATCCAGCTGCCAGCTCGTTTGTAATTGTATGTTGTCAGTGCAAATAATCAATTTAAGGTATTTCTGATAGGACAAGAATTTATTTATTTTTATTTGTTTATAGAATTTTACAATTATATATATAAAATTAGGATATCCTAGAATGGAAATACAAAAACAAGCAGAGTTAATTCCAAGTGTATTAAATGCTATTGAAGGAAAACCTCTATCACATCAAGACAGGTTTGTAAATACTTAATTTACAATGATAAAAATTATTATTAATAAACATAATTTATAATAATAAAAATTTCAGTTTACTACTTATAATTATGCCAGCATTGGGCCATGTTAATATTCCTGCTGATCCAGATAAACGAACATCTTTTCTTGGTTTGCAAGACAAACCATATGTATCAAAACAGTTACTTAGTTTTATGCTTGATATCTTATTGTTACCTTATGGGTAAGATTATTCATTAAAGAATTTATATTTTGCTAGTCTTATGATTTATTGTTTTAGATCTGTAGGACAAATACAAAATCAACAGTCAGATCAGGCTATTGATTGGTCGAGATTTCGTGTACCTCTAGGATTAAGTGAATATGCATTTAAACGAGTGATTGGTGAAAATCCACCAACAGCAGAGCAACTTGAACAAACAAAATTAGGAATTGTAAAATTCTTAGCTGGAGGGTTTTTCTCTGATTCAGATATTCTTATACATTTGATAGTAGCTGCTGCAGATACTAGATTTAGTGTTGCTAATCTAGCAGATTTGGAATTGAAAAAAATTGTTAAGTATGTTCAAAAAATATATATTTTAATTTTTATAAATATTGTATTAGAATATGTTAAATACGAAATTGTTTTAAAATATTCAGCACGTTAGATTGGTCTTCAATGCATTTGGCAGCACCACTTTATACATTATTTTTGGGTACTGATACTTTAGGTATTCAAAAAGAAGTTAAGCCAGAAATGAAAAGATTGCCTGCAGGCATACGAATTCGTCTAAAATTATTACATTATCTTTGCCGCGTTACTAAAGCCGGTTTTATTATACCACCATGTATTCAGGTATGTTTCATTATTTTATACTATAATTTATACTATTTAATAGCTAATTATAATTAATATACAGGTAGTTTTTCATTCCTTGCAAGAAGGTGATGGAAAAACTACAAATGCAAAGTTAAAGTCAATGGCTTTGCAATTTACATCTAATATTGTGCAACAGTAAGTATGATATTATATGTTCGTTTGAATTTTAAACGTATGAATTTCAATGATATATATGTCAATATGTTTTAAGGTGTAGCCTTGCACCATTATCTCGTATAGCAGGAATTATTTTAAATGGTATGATAAAATTAATTTTTGAGGGTGAAGATGTTCATCATAAAATGATGGCATATACTGTTATTGGACAATTAGGACAAAGAATTCCATCAGTAATAGATAAAAACTCAAACTTGTTATGTCATTTATTTGATACACTTGTATCGGTATGTAGTTAGCATTAGAATATATAGAAATTCCAGACGTATGTTACATTACTAGAATGTTTCTTTTTTGAGCTGAACTTTTCCTGGTGTTTAAGACTGATGGTGATTTACGAAGAACAGTAAGAGATACGCTGATTTCAATAACATCTGCATTTGTACTTAATAAAGATGATGAAGTTAACATATCTTTGATGAACGGATTATTATCTACGTATATTGAATCACCAGAATCTAATGTTAGGTATGGATAAAATATTGATTAAGCAATATACATAGCTAAAAATAATATTTATGTTATTTATGTTTGGAGAGCAGATTTGTGGCAATGCACTATGCTGCTAATGTATTTCCTCCTGACGATATACCTTCTCGTTACCTTTTATTATTGGCGTCTGGAGATGATAAACATGAAATAAGAACAGAAGCTATAAAAGTTTTATATGGCACTACACACAAGAATGAACATGATGAGCAAGACTGTAATCAAGTTTCTTTACCAGATTTTCAAAAACTTGTTACTTATATTTATTCAAAGATGCAAGCAAGGATGTCAACTGTTGGTAATGAAAAAATGAATATAGAAAATAAAGTACTTCCTTATAGTATCACTGTATTTATAGAGGTAATTAATTCACTGGAGAAATAATTTATTGCAAATAGAAATTTTTAGAGAAAAGATTGTTTTTTTTTTACAGATAATTACTTACCTCCGTATGTGTTTAGCAAAAAGTGCCAATAGTCCTAAATACAATGAATCATTGCAGCATCCTTGTGAATATACGCCATTAATTACATATTATTTAAAAAATTTATGTAAAGATGAAGTAGAGATATTAAATCATTATCTTGACATGATTTTAATTTTTAGTCATGCTTCTGCAGGTAAAATTGCATATAATATTATTAACAAACTTAAAAGTATATTAAAAATTACATTAAAATATATATGTAAATAATTATATAATGCAGATCAGACTTCACTACAAGCTTTATTGGAAGTGATTGGTTCTATTCCACAATTTGCAACAAGAATTTATGAAAATGAGTTATTATGGCTTCGTACTTTGCTCATATCTACTAAGTTAGATGTAAGGCAGCTGGTTGCTAAAATTTATGGTATAATAACTACTCAACTTCCCAATAGTGAATTTGAAACTCAAGTTTCTGAAATTATGAGCATCATGGATAAAAATTCTTTAGAAGCTCAACATGGGTCATTATTAACTTTAACATACATGATGGAAAGAAGACTAATTTTTAAAAGAGACGACATGAACAATGATCTTTTTAACTGGGATCTTTACATTAATGTTGTAAAAATGATATGTATGTATATATTTAGATATATAAATTAATATTAATTTATCTTTTAATTTTATTTCAAAAATATTACTGTAGGCAATTTTCTTCGGAATAATACGATTTTATTAATGGACGCTGCAATTCAAAGTATTGGTATTTTGGGGAAAACATGTGGGTTACCATTACCTGATGAAGGGGAAGGAGAAACAAATAAAAAAGCAATTGTAGAAATATTATTTTCAACATTAAATAATGTAAAATTAAACACTAAGGTTTGTCATTGTTTAAATATTAAATTTATTGAGTATTATGATATGAATTTAATTAATTTATTGAGTTTAATATGATATGAATTTAATTATTGTTATATTTCTAGATTAAAGAAAAAGCTGCACTCTCATTAGGTTATTTGTGTGTAGGAGAAAATTTTCCTCATACATCATACATAGTGAATAAAATAATTGCAACTGTTAAAGAGGTAAATCTATAATTATAATTATAATTATAAACTTTAGAAATACATTTCAAATTTGCTTTTATATTCATTAGACAAAAGACATTGAGATCCACTTGATTATGGGAGAAGCATTGGTTTGTTGTGTTCAAGGTGAAGCATCTCCAGAAAAACGAGATGCCTGGACAACAGTACCAACTGAACATAAAATATCTTATAGTAATACTAGTACAGAATTATTAATACAAACATTGAATGAATTACTTCGGATGTATAAAGATCCGCATCCTAATTTGAGACAGGTATTTATTTGATATTATATTTAAAATTACAGTTCCTTCATTTTTTTTTATTACATATATTTGTTATAAGGCCGTCTGTGTGTGGTTATTAGCACTTCTAAAATATAATATCGAAAGGGAGTGTATTAAAGAAAAATTTTCATCATTGCATCATGCATTTATGGATTTTCTTTCAGATGATAGTGGTAAGTTGTACAATATGTTTCTTACTTAAAAAGAATAGAAATAAATTATTAAAGTGTATTACTTTAATTACAGATATAGTGCAAGATATGGCAGCAAAAGGACTCAGTCTAATACATATTAATAGTAGCCAGCAACAAAAAGAACTTCTGGTTTCTAGCATATTAGATCAATTTACACAAGGACGTAAAACTGTACCACAAGTTACATCAGATACAAAATTATTTGAAGAAGGTCAATTAGGAAAATCTCCAACAAAGTAAAATAAGTTTATAAATTTAGATATTATTATATTTTCAATCAAATTTAGTTCAATTTCATAAATAATATTTTATTTATAGTGGTAATTTATCAACGTACAGAGAAATTTGTTCCTTGGCTACAGAATTACAAAAACCTGATTTAGTATATTACTTCATGCATTTAGCAAATCATAATGCAGTATGGACATCTAAAAAAGGTGCTGCATTTGGATTTGCAGCAATTGCTAAAGTTGCAAATGATGAGTTAAATAAATATTTACCCAATATAATACCACGCTTATATAGATATCAATTCGATCCTACTCCTAAGATTCAACATAGTATGTCTAGTATTTGGCGTGCCATCGTTCCATCAACAAGTAAAGCTGTACGTAAAAATACTTTATTTAAAATTAGAAATATGCATATACCCAAAATTACAAATATTTTTCTCAAAATTCGATCTCGAAAGTCTGTAACTATATAAACAATATTATATGGTTAAAAATTTTTGAGATTTTCACTTGCTTCGATCTGATCATTTCTTTCAATCCACTAGGTATAATTTCGAATATATCTTATACATATATTGTCATTTATTCTATTAATGTCATTCTACAATTGTCATTTAAAATTTCGAAGCTCTTCAAATTATAAACATTTCTTTTTAATTTTTTATATCTAAATGAATTACTGCAGTAGGATTATCTACAATGTAAAAACATGTATAACAATGTCTACGTAGATTATAAAAATTTAATAAAAATGGAAAAAGGACATATTTCGAAAAATGTCCATAATTTGAAGAGCTTTTCAATTTTAGTAGATACTTTTTTCAAATAACTTTTCAATTACATTTAATAGGTTGAACAATATCATAAAGAAATTCTGAATGATATAACTGAAAATTTAACAAATCATGAATGGAGAGTACGAATTAGTTGTTGCAATGCACTTGCAGATTTACTAAGAATAAATGTTCGTTTAAATTTGGCAAAATGTGCTCCAGAATTATTGAAAAAATTATTTCGAGTAATGGATGATATTCACGAAGGTACTCGATTAGCTGCTATAAATACGACTAAAGCATTAAGTAGGGTAAGTTTTATATTGAAGTTATTTGTTTATTCTATGCATGAAACATATATTATTTATTTCTTATATCAACTCATTAATACAGGTTTGTGTCCGATACTGTGATTCTTCCTATGGTAAAGAAGGAGAAGAAGTTCTACAAACAATTTTGCCTGTATTGTTAGATATCGGAGTCGTTAATGTTGTGAGCAGCGTAAGGACAGTATCTTTGCAAACAGTATCTCAGTTAGTTTTAAGAGCAGGTATTTTGCTTAAGCCATCTTTAGTTACACTAATTCCTGCTCTCTTAAGTACAATTGGCGAATCAGAAAATCCAAATTTATCATATTTGAGTAATGTCTGTGGAACAATGTCAGAAGCACGAGATGCCATTGATACTATTAGAGCTGGCGCTGCTAAGGAGCATTATGCTACTGAAACAATGACGAAAGTCAGTGATTTAATATAGCAATAACTTTAATATTATACTTTATATTTTTTTTACTAATTATTATTAATGTTTTCTTTTAATGTAGTGCATACAATATATTGATGCAGAGATTTTGAAGGAATTAATGCCAAAAGTGATAGAATTAATAAAGTCTAGTGTCGGTTTTGGAACAAAAATTACATGTTTGCACTTTATCGTCCTTTTGAGTACTCACTTTAAACAGGAATTACAACCTTATAGTGGTTAGTAAAGAAAAAAAAAAGATTTCAACTTCTGACTTTTCGGTATAAGAAATGATGTCTAAAAAATTATTACAATTTAATATCTATGTAGGTAAATTTTTAAATGCACTAATGAACGGGTTATTGGATCGTAATTCTGTCGTTAGAAAACATAATGCAGTCGCTATTGGACACATAGTTGGATCAGCGAAGGAATCAAGTCTTGAAAAGTTATTTAAAACACTTAACACATGGTACATGGAACGAGGTGTGCATTATATGATAACTCGTTTTAAAAATTATAAAACTTATAGAACTCACAGAGGAAAGATAAAATTTTATTAAATTCTTAATTTTAGATGATTCAACTAAGTTAGCAATTGGACAAACATTCCAAGCTATAAATAATTATAATCAGGAGGTATTAAAGAATTATTCGAATATCGTTATACCTCTTACTTTCTTTGCAATGCATGCACAAAAAACACAAGGTTCGTACTTAATTTTGAAATTAAATTTGTAAATGTCATGGTATTTATTTACAGTATTTTCATAGAAAATGAAAGTGTGATCGATTTGTGGACCGAACTATGGAACGAAATAACTCCAGGGACAGAAGCAGGGATCAAACAAAATATAGAACCAATAACAAATATTTTACGCTTGTCATTAGAATCATCATCATGGAATACGAAAGCGCAAGCAGCTAATGCAGTTCATACGTTAGCACAAAAATTAGGTAGTGACATTGAAGCAGTGGTCAGAAATACTTTGTTAAAGGTGTTAACAGATGGACTACGTGGGAGAACTTGGGATGGGAAAGATCGTTTGTTAAATGCTCTCGCTACGCTGGCATGTAATAGCAAGTATGCATGTAAAAATATTAATACTAATATTAAACAGATTTTTGTATAGTGTTTTTTTTATTAAATGTATTCAATTTATGTTGTTTACTTTTAAAAATTTTATAATTTAATAGAACAATTATCTGATTTTTAATAATCTAATAGGACAGCTCTCAAAGAAAATAATGAATTATCTACGGATCTAATACAGATATTACATAGGGAAAGTAAGAAAGAAACTTTAGAATATCGCCGACAAGCTTTACGTGCTTTTGGAACAGTCCTGTATGAACTGAATATTGATAAGTTTAAAGAAGTATATGAAATTGTTCAAGAAATTTTATCAATGGTATGTACTATCAAGAAAAATAATAAATATAGTTAATTTTTACACTTTGATGTATAAGTATTATCATCTAGCTATCAAGAAAAGATGAAGATGAATCTTTAGCATCTGAAGAAAGAATAAAAAGAGATGAAATAATAAAATTATATGAAACCATTTATGAAATACTCGGAAAAGCTTGGCCATCATCTAAAGACACTCAAGGTGGGTTATTAATATTGTTGTATTTAAAAATCATTAAATATAAAAATATGAATTATTAATTAATTTTTTCACTATTTAATCTCTTTTGAATTAGACAAATATTGTATAGAATTTATAACTCATTACGATAAAATGTTTCCTATTCAACCTACAACAATACAAATATCAATGTTATCAGCGCTTAATTTATTTGTGGATAAACTCGTCTTACTTACAATAAATATTTCGGAATTGTCAGTTGAAGAAAGAGGAACGTTAAATTTGATTTGTGACACGTTTAATAAAATATTAAAACATAGTATAGGTAAATATTTGTGACAATTGTATGTCTATAATTGTAATTATATTTTATGTATAATTAATGTGAACTTTATATTTTTAGGTATTTCGTACACTAGAATAAGGAAAGAAGCCTTAAATATAGCTCTATCTCTTGGCAGAAAATTACGATTTACTAACAATAATGAACAATTTGATAAAATGATTTTAATAATTCAAAAAGTATTACCAGAGTTATTGAAAGATACTGAACCAGAAATTCGAACTAGAATCATCGATATTAAAGAAATGTTGAAGATATGAAAACAATAATTAATTTTAGTACTTTTTAATCAATGTTGCATATGCCTAAATAGTAACTTCATATTCAAACACTTCGAAACAATGATAATTAAAATATATAATGTCTGCTAATACATGTTTATTTATTAACACTTATTACAAATGTACAATTGCATAGTAATACATAATTTAATCAATATTTTTTATTGCTTGTAATTTTTCATATTGTGTTGTAAGAAACAAGAAAAGTATGTTTGTCTCTAATGCATATTTACAAATATTTATATCTTTAATGATACTAGGAAATCTTTTTTGTTCAATAATTTTCTAAATTGATAAGATTTGTGTTTGAGAGGTAAGTATTTACATGTATTTTTGCATATGTATAGGTAAGTATAATAAAATAATAAGTACTACTTATATATTACATTTTAATTTATATTATGTACGTTATCAATTATTTATATATGTTAACAAATTTGAAAGATAAAAAAAGGAAACAATTCCTAAAATTTAACTTTATAAAATTTTTAGAGAAAGAATTATAATTATTTATGTTATAAATAAAATGCAGTAACTAAATATTATTAATTAGTTATAATATATTCTTATAACATTTAGAGTTTATAATTTTTATTTTCATAACTTAATACGATCTTTGTTATTTAAGTAAATAATTTATTTTAATTTTTTTAATAAAATTTTGGCACCTGGATTTGATTTTAACTTCAAAATATTTTTCATTGGTTTTAATTTAGAAATCATAGTATTTACAACAGATAGAGTTTCATTTTCTAATAACAATACTAATAGAAAGCATCCTCTATTACATTCTATCCATTCCTCTATAATATTTGTTTCTAAATGATCAATTAATATTTTTCCAAATGTATTTTCATTCTTCTCTTGTAACTCCTTGTCATTCTGTATAAGTTTTTTTAACATCATATGTAAACCGGCATGTTCAATCGGTTTATGTTCTTTATCTCCTTCTTTAATTTTTGATTTTGAGTTTGTGATAAACATAATAATAGCTTCAAAAGCTTTTTCTAACTTTTCTCCAGTACCTGTTTTCAATATTGCTAATGTTACCATTGCAGTAGAACCATTGGTCATCCAAATTGGAGTATTTGTAATTACAGATTGAAGAAGTGAATCAGAAATTGAATCTAAAAGTTCTTTTTCTCTTACGTGACTTGACTTTTTACTTGTTGCATTGTTGTCTCCTTGCTGTAAATATTTCACTATGCTGGGAGCAAAGTAATGAGAATTTCTTCTAGCTACTAAGTATAATATTACATGCTTCCCATAATCATTTAATGCTATATCTGTCAGGTCATCTTGTATTTCTGGGAATATAATTTTTTTTATCAAAACAGTATCGTCCACTGAATCAAATAATGCTAATAATATCAAATACCCATATTCAGACATTGAAATATTTTTTATATTTCCTTTAAGAGATTTTATAATGATTTTTCTATCCTTGTTTGTACCATGCCATATACATAATACAGCAACTTTAGAACCAAATTTTGTTTGAGATAGTTCTACTAGTGAGCTCTTCAACATAGTTATTATTTCTGTTCTATCTTCAACACAACAATTATTTAAGAATTCTAAAATAATAGAGTGTACAAGAATGGAATTTAAAAATTTTTTATTTAATATCCTCATTAAATTTCCTTTTACTGCAGATAATGTTGCTGCTTTCATATCTTTTGCAGTTACATATACATCAAACACAGTCTTAATTTGTTTATCTTTAGCTTGTTTATACATGTCACCATAAAATTCTTGTTTAAAATACGTTTTCTCTATTTCTGTAGCCCATGTTGAATACATAAGTTCCAATATTGGCGCAGATACAGAATGACTCATGAATTTTACTACATTACCATAACAAGAAGAAATAATTTCATGTCTAATGTCTTGAGATCCATGTTTTAATAATGTTTTTATACAATTCTTTGCATATTTTGATTCAATCATAGATAAAAGTGAAGGTTTTAATTCTACAAAAATAGCTTGCCGAATTTCTGCATCACAATACTTGAGAATCCACTGAACAATACGAGACATGTCATGGGTGAATATTATTCTATTGTAATTAGTTCTTAATAAATCATGTGCCTTTAAAATTAGTTTTTTACGTTCTAATTTTGAACAGTCAGACTTACGCAACTTCTCACCAAGTTGTTTTGCTGCAATTGATATATCATAAATATTACTGAAACGTTTTGCTAAACGTTTTTCTTTAAGTTCTTTCTTTTTCTTCTTAAATTCTAGCCAATTAGGTTTTTCCATAGAATTGTTATTTACTATCTCTAATTTCTCTTTCATATTGTTAATATTATGATTTTCTTTGCCATCTTTAAGTAAAATTTTTGCATACTTTTCCTTTGTTGTTCTTTTTATTTCAGATTTATTATTTTTATCCTTTTTTATATTATTGTTATTTTCTGTTTTATTTTTTTTTGATTTTTCTTGATTTGTTGAGACAGATTCATTATTAGATTTCAGTTTTCGTTTTGCCATTTTGTAAATTTCTGAAAATAGAAAATATAAAATTAAATAAAAATGAACATAAATAATCATCTGTTTATTACATATACCATTTATATAATACATAATAACTAGTTAAAATTTGTTGATGAAACATAATTTATACATAACCTATAAAGAATATAAAGATATCTATCTATAAATAATTTTGATAATTATTTTGTGTCTAGTATTGTACAATATTGTGTTTACAATTATATAAATCTATAACAAAAAACTAAATTAGAAATAAAATTTTAAATATAAATATAGTTCTTTTGTTTCAACATTGACAATTACCTTAGCTTCAACACGTGTCACGTGTATACATGCAACTACTTAAATGGATTTATATGCATGCAAAAATAAATACAGAGGATGAGTGATAAAGTAAGGGTAAATTTGAACAATTTTAAAATATATCAAAAGTCTTCTAATATTTATAGAATATAATGATAGAATATAATGATATATAAACAAAAATATATCCATTAACATTGTAATAATATATCGTACTGTAATACGACGCATTAAAATTAAAATTCAAAAATACTAAAAATATAATCAGTTGTATTATAATAGCAATTGCGATATAAAATTCTATACTTTATGATTATAAATTTATTTTTAATTCAAATCATTTTTAAATTGTTATATTTTCGAATATAAATCGATAACATTGCATGTGACGTGAAAATAGTGTGAAAATTAAGCGACTACCAAAACGTAAAACACAAAATGCATTAATGCACATATTAAATGTCAGGTCTATTTTATCCTTAGTCAATGATTTAACGAAATGCATTAATAATGCACATATTTATTAGTCATAACTCACAACAGCGGTATATTTAAAGTGAAAATTAAAATATAATAAAAAATGATATTATATAATTGTTTTACATGCACTTTCAGATATAAAATATTCTTGTAATTATAAAATATAATATATTAAAATAATATTAACATATTCGTAGCTTTCGATGCGGTACTATTCAATTAATACAAGATATTGTTTTAATATATAAATTTATAATGATTTAATACATTTTTATTATTTAATTTGACATAATAATAACATTAATGAGCTAGTTAAAATAAAATGTAATAGTAATACAAGTTTACGTTTACAGTTCATGTATAAATCACTGTATGAGTGCACCCAGATGTTTCAACATAGTGTTAACTACACCATTCTTTCTCGCGGAATGATTATTTTATAGTTATTTTCTAAAGATTTCATTGCCTTTTTATAGGTATCATGTTACAAATATATGTTAGTTTTGTTTCACATTTTTTTTTTAAATCATAGTGCGTATAAATGCACGCAAAACCTATGATCCCCATTGAGCTTTGAATGAATTTCATTTTAATAATCTAACTGATCCTGGACATAACATGACAATAGTCACAAACATGTAGCAAGCTAGGATTCCAACATAAAGTAACTGATTGCTCTTTAAGATTTATTTTATTGGCTAAGAAGTGTTCTTATTTCTTTGTGCATATGGCAAAGGAAATCAATGTAACTTGGATTTCCGTCGTTTTCTCTGTCCTCAATCAAAAAATGGCGCAATACCATTTCTAGTTTCTCACGTTGCCTCACTATAGTTAACTGAAAAGATTTAATAAAATATGAGCTTATAGGTATATGATGAGTGTATTGCTATAGTTTATAAATTCTAATTTACTTACTCTCATACAACGATGCCTTTCCATACGTAGACGATTAATGATATCAATAATTCGTTTATTTAATGGAGTATCTAATACTGGCAGTGCAGTACAGTCTGTGTCAACTTGAACTACTGATGGGACACCGAATACTGCCTGTACCCATTGTGGAGAAAGTGCCAGACCTAACCACAGGAACATATGGATACTATTTTCTAAAAATGGAAAATATCAAGCAAAAATTAGCACAATTGTAAATTGGAAATTTATGAAGAGATTGATGAATAAAGTCATACCGAGTAAGTACGCGCCATCATCGGTGAATTTATCAATAGAGCAGCGTAACATTTGTGGTAACTCTGTATCTTGAGGGTCAATATCGTGTAAAGGAAGTAATCTTGGATAAACAAAAACAACTGATATAGAAATTGGCATAGTTGCAACTGCTTGCATGACGTAAGATCTATCGTCAATGGTCATATCAGCACCTGCAGAATTGAATTTATGATATTGATCATATTATGAAATGTAAGGAATTAGAAACAAAATTATATACCTCCAGATAATGCATCACTTTTCAGTAACGAGTTAATGTAAAGTGGGAGCAATTTCATACATTCTGGCAATATTAATTGACCAGCATTTGATGGAGAAGCACAATGTTTCCGATATGCAGCTAATATATTTGCACATCTTGAAATTAAATTATCTTTCACAGTTTTTGGAGTTGATTCAATTAGTTTAAACACACCTAAAATAAAAATCAAGTTTGATAAACTAATATTCAATATGCTTGGAATCTTTATGGCATAATAATAATAATTTATTTTACTTTGTTTAGAGAAGTAATTTATAATAGCATCTAGGTCACAAGCCCGATATAATTCAGCCATTTGAGGCGACGTTTTCAAACTAAGGTTGATAATACGTAATCTTCTGATTCCGCTGCAGGAAGTGTACAACAAAGCTGCTTGAATATATACACCTTCATCATCCGTTAGTTTATCATCATGTTTTACTTCTATGGCAATAGCCTACAGCGTAAAAATATAAAAATTTATAATATTCAAAATATGTAGTAAAAAATACAGAATGAAGTTTGAATAAACCTTATTACAATCTATTTACCTTATTACAATCTATGCTAGCTAATTCCATATCTGTAGTATTTGACATAAAGAAGTGACCATAAAAATCAGTTGCGCGAACACCAGTAGACGTGCGTACGCGCATAATGGCATCAAATGCAATTGGTCTACTAATGTTATTAATCACATCCGAAATTAAGCGATCACCATCTATATCAGCCTAAAAAAAATATATATACATCACGTAATGTACATTTATTACTTGCACATATTAAATTAATATAACGACTATTACCTGAAAATAAGTATATTTATAAATCTCTCCGCCAGTTAATCTAGCAATTTGTCCTATTGTCGCAAGGTCCACGTATGAATTATTGAAAACAAACAAATCTACAGAACATCCCACACCTACACAATCTTGACCTAGATTATTGTAAACGTTATTTTGCGGCGCTGAAAAGAAAAATTTTGGTTTATTTAATTAGTTATAATAATAATGTTGAATTAATAAAATCGATTTACCCAATACAGTTTTTTCTTTTTCTGTTCCAAGAATTTTACGGTCGTCACGATTTTTCAGTTTACCAGGTGCATCAGCAATGGGCAAAGAAGAGTGGAAAACCATTAATTTTCCAGCGCAATCTGAAGCCTGAAAATTTTTCATTAAAATCATAATTAGTTGATATATTTCATAATTGTATTATAAAAATACCTTTAATGCTTCTAATCCAGCTTGAATGGCTGGTGCAAGAATTGTTTCTGTTTCACGTGTATCTGCAAACATTGCTGGTATTTGGGTCATTAAACCGTCAATAACAGACTCGCTCTCCTCAACATCGCATAAAAATCCATCAAGAAGTGGCATAAAAACATCCTGTACGTCTCCCACAACCATCATTTGTGGTTGAGCAAGGCAAGAATTAATATTGTAAAAATGCACCGTATTATTGTATGTTATAAATCCTACTTTCATACTTGTTTTTGATTGACCAGCATCAACAGGTAAATGCCGCAAGATTGACTTCATTTGCATACATAGTAAATTAACTAAACCAGATTTGACTGTGTTGTATGATACATCGATCACGAACACAATGGCTGGTGGTTTTGGAAAAGTATTGTTCTAAAATGAGTATTTCAACGTTAAGATAATCGAAAATGTTATATTTAGGATAGTTTTTTAAAGCCATATCTTACTCTGCAGTAATCTTTAGTAGCAATATATTCATATGTTCCTAACATTAATTCTGGTCTTTCATAACGATCCATACGTTGACCAGTATGATCCAAATGTTGGAAATACTCTGCTGGAACTGAAATTGAAAACAAGAAAGAACTAATAATTATTTTAAGTAAAAGATATTAAGAAAATTAATTTGTACCCTCAGTTGTTGCTTTACAAAACATGCACTGGAATCTTCTGCCTGCATCAATAAATTGCATAAATGGGCTCATATATGCTTTACATCTCACACAACGCACTGGACCAATTTCACCCATATCTACAATAGGTGGTTCGTATTCTCCTTTCGCTATACGAGACATTGGACTTACTATTAGACCAAATGGAACATTCGTCTGGAAAAGAAAATTATTATGAAAATTGTACAAAATTATTTTAATAATTTGATCCGCAGAGATTATTCAATATACTTGTTTTATAATATCTGCTGTGGTAGGAACAGTGTACATAGTAGATCTGATATATCTAGGAGATGCATTTCCTTGATCTTGCGTTATGAATTTGGTAGTTATTAGTGGAGGAACCAATCCTTTTTGATTGGTTATAAATACACCACTTCTTGCGCGCTGATCATCTTGAATTACTTGGATCTATAAAAATATGCTTGAAGTCATTCTAAAGAATCAAACTATAAGAAATTATAATAATTTTACATATAATTTCTTACTGGGCTTGGCATCTGTTCAGGATCCAAACGTCTAGCTTGTTGCATACCAGGCTGATATCCGCTCGTTACACCAGGTGGAACAGTTGGATATGAACCTCTTTGAACATTATACATATCCTAATATGAAGGAAGAGATTTTTAATACATAATTTCTAGTAAACTAATTATTATTACTTTAGAAATATTTCAGAAATAAGCGTACGTTATTATAGCCCTGATATCCTGTATGTTGATAGTTTGGCATTGCACTGGATGGACTACGACTAATTCCTAATGGATTTCCCATATGTTGTCCTGGCACTGGTGGTCCAGACGTGTATGGTCTTTGACCAGTTTGTAGTAAATTTGTACCAGAATTTATCATTTGTCCTATTGATTGAGAAGGTAATGAAGGTGGCATTTGCGAATTAGTTACAGTTTGTTGTCCTAATAATGGTGGCCTGTCAAAATTCTGTTGATTTGTTAATAAAGGTGGAGCACCACTCTGTTGACTTGCTACTGAAGATGGATGTATGTTTTGTTGATTCATTAATGGAGGTCCAGATAAATTAGAAGTGGACATATTTTGCGGTTCTAGAAAAGAATGACCAGATTTTTGTCCTTGTAATGAAGAATAATGTCCTGCTGGTAAAGGTGGTGTAGTAAGAGGAGGACCAGACAAAGTTTGTTGAGTTTGTAATAATGGATTTGACAAATTCTGTTTTGACAGTCCTATTAAATTTTGTTGTCCATGTGCTCCTTGCATAATCATACTGTTATATGTTTGTTGATTTGATAATGGAGGCCCTGATAAATTTGTTTGACCCGGCATTACTGGGTTAGAGAGATTTTGTTGTTCAGGTAATGATGAATTTGATACATTTTGTTGTCCCTGTAATGGTGCTGCAGATCTTTGTCCCATTGGTGACTTGGAAAAATTCGATTGTTCAGACGTATCAGTAACATTCATTTGCCCAGGTTGATGTTGACTTGAAGATAATCCTGCATTGAATGTTTGTTCAGACGACAAAGTTTGCCCAGCGTAATAATGGCTGGAAGTGGTTCCTGTAGAATGTCCTGAGAATGGAAGACCAATAAGCTGTGGGGTTGAAGTTTTTAAAGTGGCCTTTTGCTCTTGTAGATTTTGTCCAAGAATAGCTGATCCAGATTTTCCACCAGGATCAGTCTGCCCAGCAGAACCTGTTAAAATAAATTTATTAATGTTATTAATTTAATCAATATATTAATTTTAATAGGTTTCAATTGAGTTATTTTGTTCTTACCACTTCCTAGTGATGTTTCTAATGTATTATTAAAGCCATTTATATTTGATATTGTTGGACTGCTCTTTCCAGGTAAAGATGGTGGAAGAAAATTTTGCTGTAATATATAATATGAATTAATGTATCAAATACTCTATAAGTATGCTCATGTTATATATAAATTATATAGTTACCACAGATGGTGGTCTCTGTTGATCTCCCAAAGACATATTTGACATTTGATTAACTACATTATTTTGACTTGTTGGGAGTTGTATATGTGGATTATTTGTAGGTAATTCATACTGAGTATTTCCTAAAAAAGGACATTTTGTAGAAATAAATATAATTTATGAAGAGATATAAAAATAAATCATATTACCTTGTGTTTGTATATTATTTACATAATATGGTACTTGAGTCTGATGTAAATTAGTAAGGGAAGGACCTTGCATTGTTTTCTGAGTAGTATATAATTGGGAATTCATTGGTGGTCTTTTTAACATATTTGGTGGAACATTAGAATTTACTTCTCCATATGGAGATGAAGGACCAGGAAAGTAACTAGACTGTTGAGAGTGTTCTTGTTGTGACTGTTGTTGCTGTATATATTGTGGATTCATTTTTTATCCTAAAAAAGAAACAAATTATCTTAATAGAATTTAATATCTTTCTTTATACTATTTCAATTATACATTTAAAAGAAAAACATAATCGCAAAGTTATTAAAAACTGAGTTAAATCATTTTTTAATACTAAATTTTTGATATCACTGTTATATAAAAAACATTAAATTTACTAAAAATAATAAGCATATTTATGTTTATAAAATATATAACTCAAATACATAGACTAAATTTGCATAATGTCATAAGTGATTTTAGCGCAATTATGAATTCATAAATTGGAGATAGAAGTTCAAAATATGCTACATATTGACAGACGTAAGATAACCTATACAAAATTAAATACACGACTATTGTATACTGTATTGAATGTTGATTTTAAACGAAATTTATACATTAATTAGTTAATCAGTTTCGTCTTACGTGATAAATTACTGATAGATATTACTTTAGAATAGTAAAATAGAATAAGCCATTTTGCATGCAGTAATGCTTATAAACGAGCTACTCGAATAAGTAACTTGCCAAATGTCTACGAAATATAAATTACTCACGTTGTGTCATTAAACGTATTTGAATCATAACAAAAGTTAATATTTCCACAAATGTTTACACTAAATGAAGAAAATATATTTCGCTGCAATAGTGACTGCTGCCGATGCCACGTAAGGTGGCATTGCGCATGCGCTTAATGCACGCTGACGGACACGTCATAATAAAAAATTAGAACATTATTAAAGGGACATTTAAGTAAAAATGCGAATGTATTTTCTTTCATTTTCTATTTATTATCACAATAAAATTACAGAAATAGGCGAGAAGGTGGGTAACAAATAAATAGTTGAACATTTTCATCTATTTAATAAAAGATAGTACACTTTGTAATTTATTGTTAATCAGTTGGTATCTAGACGAACGCATGATTTTAAAAAATTGCGAGCAATCTTCAAAATTTGATAATTGGGTATACATCTTTATAATACACATCTTTATCCATTTTCAACTATGCTGAAAAACCAATATAATAATATTGACTTATATACAGATTGACTTATATGTATAATAATATTTTAAAATTACCTCTATTGTCAAACTGCGATATGAATAAATTAAGTAGACAAGTTTGATTAAATCAACGATACCCCATATAAAACTTAATATTATATCAACTAAATAAAAATTGTCAACGGTATGATTATAGAGGATACATATGTGTAGACATATATATGCAATATATATTACTGTCAAGAGATTGAACCGAAAAGTATATGCTTCAATTAAGAGTGACACTGTTTTACGTAATTCAAATCGAAGCCATTTTAATAATCTGTATCTAGAAACTAAATTTCAATATAACCTGTTTGTTCTAATATAAAATAATTTGCAAAAATTCTCATTGGGAACCTACCGTTGTTCATATCATGCATCTCAGAAATGGAAATGAAATGTTTTCCTTTCGTAATAACATTTAATATCGTATTTATTTGTCTAAATCTAATTTCGATTTTATTCATAAATATGGTAAAAGAACATATTACTATTACACAAATAAAGTCAGGTAGTCGATCCAATATCCACATTAAAAGATATTGAAGATCTGAATCGTTGTCTAATAATCCATAATAATCTATTAAATTGCATGTTAATACTATAAATATCGTAGTAATTATTCTGGCGATATCATTCTTCATAGAAAATGTGTGATCGATCTCTATATTCAAGAACTTTGCATTTTTATCAACGATATCTAATTGTTTGAATATTTCTTTTAGTTTTAAACACTGGCGCATGCTTGAAATTATTATCATAGGACACAGAAAGAAATTTATTTGAATTCGGAGATATCTGATAAGAAATGTATGATTTATATCTCGAAATTTATAAAACAAGGCAGCTACATAATGCCTTATTACGCCATAACAAAACCAATAAAGCACTATTAATATAAATACATATATATAATTCAGCAACGTACTTTTGAAAAATTTGATAGGATATAAACCTGCAAAGAAAAGATATTCGTAGTCTGATATTGAAGTACGTATGTCTAAAATAACATGATTCTTTTTTTAAATTAATTTTTATACTTTCACTTTTTATATCTCACTTTATAATTTTTATTAATTAATATTTACCTAATAATATTGTTATAGTCAGCAATAACCAAGATTCTTGGTAAATATTAGAAGGGTAAAGCAGCTTCATGATTATGTTCTTTCGCTATGAAAGTTACAACTAAATAGATTTAAATCGTATTTTGTATTATGTTATGTTCGTGTATTAAATTTGTCAATAATTTAATACAGACTTGCATGTTAATTGATATTGAATGATTAATGAGAAACTTTATTATATTCTATTTATGACCAGTATATCACTACTATTTTGTAATTGGTCAATATTTTTTTCGTATTCAATGTTACGCATTTTATTGCACACATTGTTCATAAATTAAATAAATGTATATACATTGTAATATTATCCATCTCCGTATATTATTATAATATAAAAAATATAATCGATTTAAAATTATTTAAATGTACAATTATATTAATAATATATTGTACAATATATATTGTATATACATACATACAATATATGTATGTAACAATATATTTTAATGAAATTAATATTTGCATATTAATTAATTGCTAGTAACTTTCACTTTCTAGTAATTTGAATTGTTACAGTTGTCGACCCTGGGATACACGACGACGAAATTGTAACAAAAACATATGTTGATACTATATAAGTAAATACGTTTATAAATGTAATGTCGACGTCAATTTTAAACCAATTTTATCCTATTTACTACTTTTTTTTAACATTTCTTCCCACGTAAAATTTGAAAAGATTGCAAATCAAAAATGAGCGAGAAAGAAACAAGTAACATAAATATTTTCACAAGATAATATAACCAATAATAATGCATATGATATGGAAATATAGTTTATGTAATTCTATATTGCAGATCAAAATCTTTCTCTGCAGAAAGTTTTATTACCTGGTCATGATCCTGGATGGAACGATCCTCCAAAATGGGCATATTCTACTTTGCAAAGTAGTTCTGTAACTTCTACTAAGAGAGTATTAAATAAGAGAGTGGCATTTCCTATGTCTTCTGTACAAGCTACAGATAAGGAATCTTCTGGAAAAAAACCACTAAACATGCCACCGCCAATGCAATCTTCTATTAGTTTAACAACAGTATCTCATCCTTCATTGTTATGTCCCTCAAACAAAAATACAGAAGAAAATATGATTGATATAGAGATTGATAAACAGGTAACATTAAACACTGTTTTGAAAAATTTAGAAGCTGTGATTAATGAACATATATTGGAAAAAAGTAGAACTGAAGAGCTGAGGAAGAGACTAGATTTATTAAAGGCTGTATGGCTTCAAGATAAATTAAATAATACAATATATAAAAATGTTTTAGATTTGTCTACAGGTCAGTTTTGTGATTAATTATTTCTTAAACGCATTATTTTTATGGGCCATGAAAGAATAAAAAATCTATTTTTAGCTTTACGAGAGGGAGATATTGAAAAAGCTGATGAAATACATGTTTCACTAATGATGCAACATGCTAGTTTGTGTAGCACATGGATTCCTGGAATTAGACACATTATTTTGGAATTGAAAACTAAAACGAAAAATCTGGATGCAATGCAACCTCAAAGTTCAGAGTTACATTTATTATCAATTAGAGAAAATGAATAAATGAAGATTCTTTGAGCATAAAGTACTTGTGTACAGTAATTGCATTTCAATATTGACTTCGTGTGTCATTTATAAGTAAATTTATATATTAAATTAATTTAATTGATATTATTAAAATGTGAATAGTAAAAAAAACTACTGATATTATGAATATAACAAATTTTATTACAATAAAACAAATTCCATCAAATTTATATGTTTATATCATGACATTTATCGATAACGTGGAAACTTAAACGTAATTTTACAGTACTTGATATCCAAACGATACAAAATTAATATTGCGATGTTATTTTTATATGCGTATGTTCGAAGAATGTATTGACTCATGATTTATTTTCAAATTTAGCGCTTTTTATCAGATGATAAATGATAAATAAATATTAAGTCGTAACAAAGTTCTCCGATCTTTTGCTAGAGTTCGCTTTTTGACATTAAATTATTGTCTCGATTAGCAAAATCCGTGAGTTAAACATACGTATCTGTTCAATGTAGCCATAGTCAATTTGAATCATACTTTGTTAACGTGTGTTTGTACGTAAAGATATTAAAAAATGTCATTTATAATTATTATTATTTACTACTATCAACACGTCTATTAGGAGACTGATTATAAACTCACACTGCTGAATATTCGGCTTTCATCGAGAGATTAGCAGTAATGCGTAATCGATTGATCGATTTTATTTATCGTATCGTGGTTCGATTGAGTCAGTTAAAAGAATTGAACGTGTTTAGACGTTTAGAAGTGAATATCACGTTGGAAATTATGTTATCTTCGTTATTAGATATCAATCGAAAGAGTGAGAATAGAAAAAAAAAAGTGAGAGAAGGGTTATTCGGTGAGTACGATTCATTTAATACTCATATTAAATACATAACATTTTTATTGTACCATGATATGCATGATTAATGCTTTAGTTTATCGAATCTGCGTTGCAAATTTTTTTTTTTCCAACTTCTACATATTCTTCACCATATTATATAAAAAGCAATTTCATTACAATAAATAAGAGAAATGATCGTATAGAAAATGACATGCGTTATATGTAAGTGAATACAAGTATCTGAATCCATAAATGTGTCGAAGCAAGTCAATCCATTACGTTGATCTCAATCGATCAAATGAACATTTACCATCGACGAGGAAAATATCGATCGAGTGTTCCATGAGCGTATTTAATATACTAGAGATCAAGATTTGGTCTTCTTTTTTTTTTTTTTCCTTTTGAACCGCGAAATCAACTAGATGCCATCCTTGTTATACATCGTTCGAAATGATCTTTTCTTCTGATTAAATGATCGGCATGTATCGTACATAAAGGGAAATTACATTCACACGTACATATGTGTAGGATGGAATTTCTTCAGTGCTTCTATAATATCTCACCCACGTGTACACGAATGATCAACAGAATTGCCCAAAAAAATATGTGTATATGTGGTTGATCATTTATCTACGCATGAAAACACTAAAATAATTTTTTTCTTCTTTCTCATTTGGCATTCATTCTGTTTTATTTCGTATTTGCTCACGACTGGTTACACGAAGTACGAAAAATGATCAAGTCTTCTTTTATCATAAAAGTTTCTTGTATTTCTCATTTCTCTCTTATGTATATTCACAAAGGACAATTACATCTTACTTAATAACATATTCTTCGTCTAAATGTACTCTTATCTCAATAATAGTCATCGATAGCAATGATCAGTTTAAATTATTCTATTCGCTTATCGTCTATAAATCGCTACTAAACTCTAAGCATACAGTGTGTATGTATGTGTTTGTATCCGTGTTCTGTGTGTGTATGTGTGTGTTTTTCCTCTTATATCTGAACGTGTGCGTGCTGTGTATACGTGTGTATGTGTGATTTCTCATCGCTCAAAAGCACACTCGCGATTTTGTTTTCTCGTTTTCTTTTCTTTTTTTTTTCTTTCTTGTTGCATGTGTATGTTGTTTTTTTCTTTTTTTCCTTTCGTAATTGATCCACGTGCATTTCGCGTCATTTCCCCCGTTTCAATCGATCGATCGAAACCGAAATGCACGCCGATCGATGCTTTGACATATTTCATCGTTTTTGTCACGTTTCTCTTTTTTTTT